TGGTACCACCTTCACCCACTTTCCAAGTTAATCCTAAATAAACTAGCATTAAACGGCTGATTCTCAGTATGCATTACACTTAGCCTAGCCATCTCAATCTATGGATCTCTAAGCCACCTTTTCTACTTACCTTTTATCCTTATATAATAGACCAGGCCTGACTTCTACACTAATTATGATGTTGTCTGTCCTAATATCAATCGCTTAAACAGTGACTACTGTGGTGAAAAAACCTTAAATCTTTACATATCTTCTTATCTCTACGATAGGGTTTCACAGTTGGAAAGCAGGATGGAGTGAATCTTGGTGTACAGTACACATATCCTTTTATCAGTATCCAGATGTTACACGACCTAAAGATGATTGGATAATATGGATAATGAATTCTATCAGTCAGTCAAGTTTCCAATGTGGCCACCAAGCTACTAGGTAGCTCGCCATCATGGTGCACATTGATTTGATGATATCAGATGGTTGGAGGAAATAGGCCTCACGTAGGTTCCGTGCTAGTTAGCACTCATCATCAGGGCGTATCTGCAGTCTTGAAAAAAGGAACTCATATCCCTTCTGAGAGTTGCACCCACCTCACCCAGTGAGCACCACAGTCAGAAACACAACCACTGAGCTAATGGAGTTCGTCATTGACCTCCTCCTGTAGGACTATGTTGGATAATTTGATTGGACACTAGTCGGTAACTAGTGTGATGTGTCTAGTCCTTACTTCGGTACAGACTGAATTCCATCAGTCAGGTTTGCAATGTGGTCACCATTCTAGGTAGCTCGCACTAGTTACTAGTGTTCTACACGAGGAGGTCAATCGCGAGCCTCGTTAGCTCATTGGTAATGTCTCTGACTGAATTGCTCACTGGGTGACGTGGGTTTAATCCCAGAAGGGACATGAATGACTTCTTCAAAATTTCAGATACGCCTTGCTGACGAGTGCCAACAAACACGAAAACTAGGTCAAAGGTTTCCTATGGCCCATTGTCTCCAACCATCTAATAGAGTCATGACGGTTTTTAGCTGAAACTGTTTACTAAGTAGGTCAAAACTACTTCAGCAGATTTACTTAGACTCGGTGCTGTCCGTAGTCTCTCATCCCCTTCTCCTCCTCCAAACTAAACGATCTCCTCCATGTCACCCTAGCACCGACCACCCACTTGTCGTTTCCCATTGGGATTACACTTGAGCGATGGCCTGCATTGCGCGCGATGTCATTATACGGTCTTCTCAACGTATGCTCAATTCACCCATCTCCATTTTCTCCCACATATTTGTTGAGAAATCGCTTCTCGCCTCTTGGTTTGCTCTCAGTCAGCCAGAGTTTCTTGTTGCTAATTCTTTCTGGCCCACTAGCAGGCCGACTGGGTATCTGAACTTCAGTATGGAGACAGTGAAGGTAGCTGTTGATTAAAGTCCGTAACTTGTTGAAAATCCTTTTCATGACACACGAGCAGTGCAAGTTTCTGACCCATAGAGAAGAAGTGACTGGCTGACTTCACATTTGTCTTGAATGGAATCCAAATTTTGTTCATTTTGCTTGCTGAGTTAGTGCAGAAGATTTCCAAACTGGTTTCAGGTTGATGAAAGTGCCTGTCTTGCCTTTCCGATTTTGGCTGTCTGTCTTTGACATCTTCATTCGTGCTGTCCGACTGCCTGTGGTTGAAGCAATGCTTCCTAGCGGGATAAGTGAAGGAATGAAGCGACCTCTGTCAAATCTCTCCCGTTGATGATGATTGGTGTTGGTTGTTGTTGTTGCTGCTGTTCGCTGATTGTTTGGTTGGTTGGAAATCTACATCATCTATCCCCGTCTTCGCTATGTTCACCTGCAGTCATGTCTTCGCTGCTTGCCGGTGTCTTCAGCCAGTTTGTTGGTTTTCGCCTGCAAGTTTTCGAGTCTGTGTGACATTAAACATAAATCATCCATCCACCCAGGCGTGAAATCCAGATCTTCTAGAGTCTTCTTATCGGTCAGTGCAGAGTATTCCCATTTTCTCACTCCCTATGCACAGTTTGACGCATAATCCAGTCCACCACAATTAAGAATATCATCGGCGACAACAGGCTGGCTACCTTTTCTTATTCCTATATTCAAATCCTGTATCCAAATACTAGACCATCGAGTCAAATAAAAACCCTAAAAACATGTCAAAACTGATCAGATCACAAGGGAAGATAAGTGGTCAGTAAAGATCAATAAATCCGTTCTACCCCGATTATATGATAGACTCAAACCACATACATCCAATTTTCTGCCCACAACCAATCATTCCAGGTACAAGGCATCCCAAGATACAATTTATCCAAGGGGACTGTACAGAAAACTAACAGAATCTCACGATCACTCCGTCAAACCTCAAACTCAATTTTCGGAAAGAAAATCAAAGGCATCTATCAAGGAATATGAACAGTGAACGTTGGTTCATTGACCTTGGTAGCCATTGGCGGGCAACTCAAAGGTGCGAATGGTTCGATCGTGTACAAGTTCGAAGAAGACGAAAGAATACGAATAAAAGTACAGCATATTTATTTGTAAACATTTGTTTATAGACTTGTACTTATACTCACTTTAATTGCCAAACAATACAACTTCCTTCTTACAACCACTGGTGTTTTGGAGTTAAAGTCGAGAAAGTCAAAGTAGTTATCGATTCGGAGCGTCTTCGTTACAATAGGAACTTAGGGGTTAAGTTCCTTGAGAGCATCCAAATAGACAGCCAAAAAGAAGTGGTATCTTTCGATGTCACAACATTACATACTTCGATTGGACAGAAACCAATGAAAGAAACTATGGAAAAATTACTCAGCAACGGTGAATATCTCCCATAACACTCAAAAATTCAACACTCAAGTCGAATGGAATGCACAAGTTCATATCTAATAACACATTTTTATTTAGATGGCCAAGTACATGGACAGATAAAAAAATGGACACCTGTGGGATTTGTCATATTAGAAATGATTGCAGAAGCTGTTATGCAAAGACTTGAAACTGAAATTCTATCAAACTCAAAATTTGGTTGAGTTAGGTGGATGGCATACTCACGATAACTGAAAGAAACGATTTGGAAAATACCCGCAGCCTAATCAACAACATCTTTGACGATATCGATTTCATAAAAAGAGTAGTATGGGAATAAAATTCCATTTTTAGACGTCAATCAAGAAATCAACTGCCGTAGAATAAGAAAATCAGAAAAGCCGGGATGCACTACAGCACCCCTCCTATGGGGAGAATGGAACAAAAATATCCTAAGGTGACCCATATCAGACATCTAGTCTGTGGTGTTGGTGCGGAATGTTTCTGCCAGTCATGTTTTCAGAATGGTCACCAAGCTTGGCCTCTTTCCATCTCGGTGAACCCTTCACTGATGTTATTAAATGGCTGGAGGCAGTTAAGCGGAAGCCCTGCCTCATCTAGGTTCCATGCTTGTTGGCGCATGTTAACATGGCGACCATGAAAAAATTTATATCTCTTTCGGAATTCGAGCTTGGGTCACCTAGTTCTGCTGTCGAAGACATTACCATTGAGCAATTCACGCTCATGACTTACCTACTATAAAACTGATAAAATACAGTCTCCACCGACATTCAAAGTAAAAGATGCATGGGGTTAGTGACCAATTATTTTATCCATCACAGTCCTACAGGAGGCCAATTATGAACCCAAATAGTTCAGTGGTAACGTCTTGGGTTGCAGCATCGGGTAACGTGGGTTCAAATCTCAGTGAGGACATGAGTTCCTGCAGATAAGCTTTGCTGAAGAGTGCCAATAAGTGCAAAAACCAGGTCCAGGGCACTTTTTCGACTACCTCCGACCACTTAACATCTGTGATCTGCATAATATCTCAAGTTTTAATCTAACTTGGGTGCCGGGTAAGAGATTCACCCCCAGTCACTGGGGATTTAGGTACATTCAACTGATGAGTCCTGAATAGGGTGAAACGCGCATCCTGAAGTCTATTGCTGGCTATCAGCAACAAAATAATATTACACTTTAAAACAAAATACAAAATTAAAATAGATATGCGTAGGAATGGAGATGAAAAGAAGAGGCAGTAAGAGAGACGATGCTGTAAGTGGTATGTGTGTGAATGTTAGCGAAAAGCAGAAAATTTGAAGTCAATAAACAGTCGCTTAGTGATTATGGCTTTTCAATCTTTTTTGGTATAATATCTATTCCTAATTTAATCTACTACTCCCACATAAAGAAGGAACTTCGGAAACCTTACGCAGAATTCTTAACAAGGCAGGAATAAAAGTGACTGGCATTCAACTACCCACAAACTCAATTAGAAACAAGCTTTGTCGGTTAAAGGATAAATTCTGTGGAGCCAATAAAACAAAACAATCTAGTTTATCTAATACCCTACCTGCGATGATTGTCAGGTCAAATACATAGGTCAAAGTAGTAGAACAGGGTCAATCAGTCAGACTAGCCGAGCATAAAAAGCTAGCAGCAAAATCTAGATTAGTTGACCCTACACTGAGATAAGAAATCTAGAGAATAGTTCAGCTATAGCACTCACTACATGCAATTACACACAACCATACAATAGGATGGGTGGGATAAGATGACAGTTTCAAAATCTAATGTAATCAGGGTGAAGAGGGAGAGATTGATAACGGAATCTTTGTTTATCGAATCAACTGCAAACACGTGTAATAGGAATGATTCAACACCTGTCCCCAGATATCTGGAAAATTCTACTACCCCTACGAGACAAATAGGAGAGAACAAAGAAAACTATAAAACTCAAGTTTCGAAGTCGTATGATTATAATTGATGATATGATTATGAACAGTAATGAATTGTGTTCGAAACATTGTCATCCAGTAAATAATACTGTTTCACTGACTGTGTGTGATATATCTAATAAACAAACTAATATGGAATTGTGTTTATTTTGTAAAACTAAAAACAAACAAACAAAAACAAACGAAAAGAAAACAAGGGCGTAAGAAAAAAACACCCAGAATAAGCATTTTATTTCACCTACCTCTCTAGATGCTTCAGCTGTACTCGATCTTTCCAATTTACGCATATTTGCAATTTCTTTTTTACGTGCAGCACTTTCTATCTTCAAATTACTCTTTATTATTATTATTGTTATGAGTAGTAGAATAAGTAGTATAGTTATTTGAAAAGAGAAAAAGAACACAGAGGATGAAAATATGACAACACAGGTGGAAATAAACAATAGGAAACGTGAACAGTGAAGAAAATTCTCTTCTTTTCGACGAAACCTTTTCAAGAGCTGCTGTAAAAACTAAATACTAGTAACTGCGTTTTAGATAATATATTACATAATGTCAGTTATAATCTGTAGGGGGATGACTAAGTGGAGAGCAGAGTGAATCAGTACTACGCAGTGCCATATCCATAAATGTATTCTGGAATACTGTTCAGCCTGGAGGAGAAAAGAAGAACACGGTGGTCCTATCCTTGAACACCTTATCAATCCTAAACATCAGGCACGCCAACCTGGTTGCTTCACAGTGTTACACAGGGGCGCCTTAATGTCACACGAAGTACGAATACTCCATCTATATATAACCGAATCACTGGCTATATTCGGAAGGTGGAACGTGACCTCTGAGTTTAATATTCTGTTCGACAGGCATTTGGACGCATATGAAAAATGGGCTAAATGCATTCTATCTAACTCACACCACCATCTTCATTCACAACCCTCCCCTTGTATCTCATTAGACAGGACCAGAAGCCTATATAGAAAACTATATGCTCGCACTAGGAAGTACAAAAACTCAACCATACCCTACTTAGCTCGTGTTCTGTGCGATAAAGAAAGCATTAGGCGTGATACCTATAACTTTTAAATAGTCAGTAGAACAACAGGACCTCGTCTTTCCAACTCATATCATTCATAGCTACAACGTTTTATTTCTTTCTTTTCCTTTTCTCTTCTTTCTTTTATGTGCTGCTTTGTTTCTTTCTTCGTTACAAACTCTACTTAAAACATTCTTCTTCGTTCTTTCACACTCTGTATATCTCGACCATTCTGTTACCGCTTACGCCAGTAAATATGCTAGTATCTACTTTTCTAACACCTTCAAACACTCTGTTCAATTTTGGCTTTGCTGCCGACATGCCAATATGTTGTTGTCAAAACTAACTGAGATTACCCTTAATCTATGTAGGATTTTATTTATTGTTAATGTACTAACTGGACGCAATACTGTAGTAAAATGCTGAAAGTTCCATTCTGTATCACAAGTACTGTTTTTGGAATAAAGCAAATTATTATTATTATTAAAGCACTAAAACACACTGACTTGCTTTACTGTGACCAGAGTAACATTCTTGGTATAATTGCCTGATATTTTAGTTTACTAATGTTTTTATGAAAAAGAGAAGACGTTCAGCGAAGAGACTCTTTTCGACGGCGAATTCATTCACATACCTGTTGGGTATTAAGACAGATTACGTCCATTGCAAGTGTAGTGATTGAACGAACTTCTTCTGTATGCAGAGTTCAGGGCTTAGCAAGTGAATTGCCATTGCTTCTGCAGTTTGAAGAAGTCTGACTCGTACACTTTTAGGAACACTTAACAGCATGGTTTTACAAAGGAGAAAAACGATGCCTTCGCAGCTCTATCTTAAAACATCTGATAGATTCCGGACACCAAGCTACACCCTAAACAAACTTCGAAGTAACCCACGGAATACGAAGAAGTCTTCCTAAAAGTGTACGAGTCAGACTTCTTCAAACTGCTAAGCCCTGAACTCTGCATACAGAAGAAGTTCGTTCAATCACTACACTTGCAATGGACGTAATCTGTCTTAATACCCGACAGATATGTGAATGAATTCGCCGTCGAAAATAGTCTCTTCGCTGAACGTCTTCTCTTTTTCATATGACTCAATGGGGATTTTTAAGCTACTTAAATAGTGTAATGTTTTTATTATGATTTTGTAATTAGTATTGCTATTGTTCATTAAATAACTTGTATTTCGCAAATATATTTACATGTGAACATCTTCTGCATTCCCATTGGCTTCCGTCCATTTATATTAATTAGGTAATTTCACACACTTATTGCGTAATTCCAACTTCTATCTCTTTTTTTCCAATCTCCATTTATCTGTTCCCTTCTAGATTACACAATTAAGTTGAATAATACACTTTCTGAATAGTCTGCAAGCTCGCCTTATAACCGGAAGGTGCCAGACTCGAACCCCATTGGGTGCATACTGCAGACGAGTCCCAAACTAGGACGAAACAGTTGTCCAGAACTCCCTGTTAGTTTTTAATGGTTTTCTAACTGATTTCAATGCATGATGAAACTTGAGGCAAGTCAGATCCCTACAAACAAACTCTTGAAAATTATGAAGAACTAGACAAAATTAACTCCAGTAGCGAACCGGGTTACTGCTCAGGGAATCGGTTGGAACTCAATTACATGACCAAGAACCAATATTATGAATCGGGTTTGGGAGATAAAGGATTCCGATTTGATTACTAAAGTTGTCACAGAAAAGTGATGAGCTCACCAGCTAGTCTGAAGATATATTTATGCCCACAGAAAAAACTTCCACACTCTCTACCTTGGGTATAATTCTAAGCTCAATTGTTATCGATATTTTGTTATTAACACGTTTTTGGCATTTTCCGCTTGGCAATTATTCACATCTTTAAGTGTTCGTCTGACGGATCTAATTGGTCACAGGTTTGATCATAAGCCGATATAAGTTAGAAAACCAAGAAGATGGAATGGATAGCTGTCTCGTCCTAGTTTGAGGCTGTTCACTGATATGCAGACACCAGGGTTCGAACCTAGGAGCTTCCGGTCACAAGGTGAGCTGCTAGACCTTTCAGTCACTGAGACCCGATCCAGTTACTCGCCAATGATAATGGCTGGCGATTGCTCTGTAAATCGCGAATTGGTGGAAGTTGGAATTCATGGGTTGGCTATTGGAGCTGATCCAAGGAGCTGGAAGGTCTACAAGTTCACGCAGTAACCAGTATGTGGATGAATACTGCTGATGAATAGTCTTAAGCTTCGACAAAACAGCTATCCGGTACTTCCTGCTTTTCCATTTACTTAGCTAGCCTTTCGTTCACTCTGTTCACCTGTTACATAATACATATTTTGACACTTGTCTGTATGCTTTTTCAATAACACCTGATTTCTCTGAACGACTTCTCATATTACGCAACCCTTGGTCACCACCTTGGTTACAATTTGATTAGTCTTCGCTGATTTGAAATATTCTGATGATCTAAACAATATTCTTATACCATGTTTGTGATATATATAGAGACCTAATTTTCTACATGTCATTTTTACATGTCTGTTTGGACTTCTCTCTGCCCACTTATTGATTTATAACCGAATTTCCTCTCACCCTACTTATGACCTTTGAAATCCTATTGGTTATTCACTGTCTTAATTTATCAATGAAATTAGTGCTTCTCAAGGTCATTTCAAACATATATATGTTCAAGCGCTGTCAACCTTTTTTGACTGTGGTTCTGAGACAGTAAAAGCTCCCTTACCAACGTTAAGTCTTCTCTTCTGTGTTTTTGCCACCGGACGGTTAGGATAGATTAGCCAGCGCATTAAAATTAGTCTTCGCTCATAGTGTGCTAAGTCATAGTTCTGGTAATAACAGTTTGACAGACTTAATGCACACACACACTTCTACGGATAATTGAAACTGTACAGCTAAGTGAATGAATTCGCTACAAAAAGTGTGTCTTATTGCTGAACTGCTTGCCCTTATTTTCATGTCTGGATGGGTATTTTACGGAAATCTATAATGGTATCAATGTTGAGGATTAGCTACCCGTGAAAAAGCACGAGTCAAGCAGACCCTGAGTTTTAAATACTCCGAATAGCTGCTCTCCCGTTTTTCTCGATAAAACTAAGCTTTAAATTATTATTATTATTATTGTTTCCTTTAATTCCCAGAGGAACATAATGCTTCAGCCGTGCGTCTGCATTGCATTCGGTTCTCTCCCAACTTTTTCACCTGGCTCCACGCCTTCCCACATGCCTTCATCTCCTCTTCACATGACCTCCTCCAAGTCATCCTCGCACTGACGGCAAACTCGCTGCTTCCCTTTCAAGTTCCACTGGAGCGATGGCCTGTGGTGTGATGTCACTTGATGGTTTGTTTCCTCAGAGTATGGCCAATCCACCTCCATTTCTTCCTGCCTATTCGGTTCCTGGTCGGTTCGCTCCCAGAGATCCCTATTGGTGATCCTTTTTGGCCATCTGATCTTGGGTATTGAGCGAAGACAACTGTTAATGAAGGTCTGTAGTTTGTTTGAGATGCTCTTCATGACGCGCAGTGCAAGTCTCTGATCCGTATAGTAGGTGGCACTGACTTCACATTGGAGTTGAAAATCCGGATCTTATTTTTGATGCTGAGTGCTGTTGACCTCCACACAGACTTGACAGTAGTGAAAGCTTGTCTTGCTTTTCCGATTCTTGCTTTGATATCCTCGTCAGTTCCTCATGTAGTTGAGACGATGCTTCCCAGGTAGGTAGAGAGGTTGTTTCTTCAGGTTCCTCCCATTTATGCTGACTGTTATCTGTTGTTGTTGTTGTTGCTGTTGGTGGTGTTGCCCAGGAATCTTAATCACCTCTGTTTTCTCTATGTTCAACTGGAGGCCTATCTTTGATGCTTCTTCTGCCAATTTGTTGCTTTTCGCTTGCATATCTTTCAGTTTGTGGGAAATCAGACATACATCATCGGCGAAGTCCAGATCCTCCAAGTTTTTCGTGAGGGTCCATTTTATGCCTGTTTCCTCGCTGCCCGCCGCTGTCTGTCGCATTATCCAATCTACTGCAATCAGGAAAATCATTGGCGACAGTAGGCAGCCTTGTCTTACTCATGTCCTCACTTCGAATGATTCCGTAAGCTTCCCGTTGTGGATTACTTGGCATGCAGCATTGCCGTACAGCTGTTGGATGAGATGTATAATTGTCGGTGGCACCCCATAGTAGCGAAGTAGTTTCCAAAGCACCTCTCGATCGACGCTGTCGAAGACCTTTTCAAAGTCGATGAAGTTGAGATTAGATTAAGAATTAGATTAGAATTAAGAAAATTCAACATTTGAGTGGCAAACATAACTCTATATACTAGTGATTTATTGAAGTGGTGCTTGCTAGCCAACCAGATCGTAAAGAGCTAAACACCAGAGAGGTATTTCACCCATTTGGGGCTGAGTTCATCAGTGGTGTACCCCATACGACTCAACTGAGAGAGGCGAATTCTGAAACATCCCTGTTATCATGGCAACTTTGTAGATATTAGGTCAGGAAGGGAAAATGTTCGAGAAGCAATTGTCAGTGCGGTTTTCACAGACAGTTAGTAATTGTTTTCTAACTCTTGCCGTAAGTTATCGTCGTGGAGTTAGCTAACATAGATTTTTATCGAATGATCTTAATTGAACTGGATACACCATTACTGAACTCGACTTCAAACGTGTTTAGACCAACTTTGATTTATGAGTGGCATGAACTTACACGGACATGTTTAATTTCTTCTCCATAAGCAGCTAACGGATTGACAACTTTACCAACAATTCGATCAACCTATAAATTAAAACAAATAAATCACTTATTGATTTATCGATTACTTCAGTATGTCGATAATCTTCCACAGTAGCAAGATATTCTGATACTTTATGTAATGCTTCTGAAGTTGTACGACTAATTTTCTCTTTAAGTGAATAATCTAACATAATACGGGAGATTTCATCACCTAAAATTCAATAGGTGTCAATATTATTGATTGATTGATTGATTGATTCAATTTCAAAACTTACCATTATTACGTAATTTAGCTGTACGTCTTGTATAATTTACAAGTTCTGAGCATAAATCACCAAAAAAAGCTTCGATTTCGTTGATACGTTGATTTACAAATTTTGATTGATTTTCACTAAAATAGAAATAAATATATATTGGCTTTGTAGGGATTTTGTTTGATTGGATGGAGGATTTCAGCATGAGCTGACATCAGTTAAAGAAACACTGGAAAACCTAGGAGTACTGGACAGCTGTTTCGTCAGCCTAGTTTGGGATTCTTCATCCGGACCAGTAGGGTACAGCAGGTTGAAGTTGAGGCAGTAACTCATCGAAGAAGACATTGTGAAATGGTCGCGCTATGTCGTGAATTGGAAGAAGTTAGAATTCATGTACTGGCCACTGGATCGGGTCCCAGTGGCTTGATGGTCGACGAGCTTGCTAGACGTGTAACCAGAAGATCCTGGGTTCAACCCTGTCAGTGGGTGTGTACTGATGAAGAGTCCCAAACTAGGCGGCCGAAACAGCTGTTCAGTACTCCCAGCTAGTTTTCCAGTGGTTCTCTAACTGATGTCAGCTCATGATGAAATCCTCCACCCAATATATATATATTTCTTTTGACAAAATTCATGTATAAATTATGAAACCAGGTGTAGTAACAAACTGGTTATTCACTGATATAGGGCATTCATGGATAATTAGCTTAGTGAGTAGCTTTCAATAATTAGTTTCTAGGGCTTTGATTTATTTTAATTTTGATCACGGATGGATATAAGTCAGAGAATTAGTGTAAACTAGGAGGTACTTGATATTTGTTTCGTCCTAGTTTTGCACTCTTCATCAATACACACCGATGACCCCAACAGAGTTAGACACCCGGTACCTTTAGGTTACAAGGTTAAGCTCGTTGACTATTCAAACACTTGAACCGGGAATTCAATGACCGGTGGATTCTAACTCCTGTCCATTCGCGATTTCAAGGTGACTGCCAGCCAATATCAGCGGTGAGTATTCGTCATCACACCCGACTTTGTGGACCTCACTGGTAACGATTGCTCACTAAAACGCCAAGCAAGGTCGTCCTGCAGCCAATGACTCGCCAGCATCAGATTATTTTCGAGAGTTAGTTTGGCGGTTGTGCGAAAATCGCGAATTGACAGAAGTTAGAAACCACAGGTTATTGAATTCTGACGCAAGTGGCTGAATAATTAATAGGGTTGACCTTATTACCTGAAGGTTGGGGGTTAGGTCCCCCCTGGTGAGATCATGAACGGATACTGTTAGAGAATCACTAGCTAGAACTAAACACCTACCTAGTAGTTCATGGTTTATAACGGTTCTCTGACTGATTTCAGTTAATGAGTAACACTTTGACACTTGTATGACCATAGATGTTCGTTGTTTTATCTCCTGTGTTGATTGGTAAAATATACTGAGTAATATTGAAGTTGGAAATAGAGTGTTAAGTAAGAAGAGCACGCTAATCGATCAGGTTGTGATGCTACATCGAATGAGTTGTCTAGGATGTGTATTGTGCATGCCAAGTCATCTCTTTCCTTCCTCGAGGAATGTTAGCCGACATGGGATTAGGTTAGAAAACAGACGCAGGTGGTCAAATCATAACCTGTCATCAATCCATGATGTCTTCGACTGCTGATTTAAGACAGTCACACAGAGAGGAGGACAAATAATCGCCGAAGACATTGGCTAGTGCCAGTCGCGCTATGTTGTGAATTGCCAGAAGTTAGAATTCATGGGCTGGCCATTGGATTGGTTCCTAGTGGCTGCTTAATGGTCTACGAGCTCACCTTGTAACCGGAAGGTCCTGGGTTCGAACCCTGTCGGTGGTGGGTGCATACTGCTAAAGAGTCCCAAACTATGACGATACGAACAGCTGTCCAGTACTCCCTGGTGGGTTTTCCAATGGCTCTCTAACCAATGTTAGCTCATGAAGAAATCCTGTAAACAATCAAATCCCTTCAAACCAATACTTGAACACAGAGAGAAGTATAGACATTTTGATTCGGATTATTGGAATGCTAAAAACCAGTGGCTGGAGACAGTTGGTGATATGACACAAAATCGTTCTCAGTGGTGGTGCAGATGCATTCAATCTTTGTGACAGCTCATATCAATTAGATCCCCACGTTTTGCCATGTTACCATGATTTTTCTTGTACAAATTCTGTTCATTAAATTTCGTCTGAATTTCTTTTTCTATTTTCTATACGTTTGTGAGGTACCTGGAGTATGGTAACTTACGGTGCTGTGATTCTGTACAGAGATCAACGTTGGAAATTCAGATTGTCTTTGGTGCTTGAAACAATAAATGCTAAGGTTCATGTTTCAGTGGAAATAATATGATCTTTTGAGGGCTCAGGTTCCATTCAACTGATGAGTTATGGACATCAGGCACTTTAATTGATGGTGAAGTTCATCTTACTGTCTGAGTGGATAAAGAACTCGCCTCATAACTTGTAGGCATTGGGCTTGAACTCCAGCGAGTTTATGAGTGCATACTGACGAAGTGTTCCAATTCGCAAAGCTTTCATTGCCCCACCACTAGGTAACATCTTCGACATCGTCGAAGCATCTGCTCAAGAAGCCGACATGTCAACCTGAGACCGAGCACTTAGGTCCAATCAATCGACGGGAAAAAAATCTAAAATTCAATTAAATCAATATGACCCGTTGCACAAGAGGTGGCTCTCGTGGCCCAAGTGGTCTAGTGGATAACGCCTTGGCGTTGAAAACTATGGGCACTGGGTTCGAGCCCCGGTGGGAACATCATCCCTCACTGAGAAATGCAGGTACATCCAGATGACGAGTCCCAAATAGGACGAAATGCGCATCCTGGATTCCACTGCTAGTCACCATCCACCAATTAAATTCTAACAAGTTACTTATTTTTAATGTATAAAAACATCTTATTTCGCATCCTATTGTATTTTATCACTAATATCATTATTTCCGGGTGTATTTTATCTTATATTGATTTTTATTCAAATGTCTAATCATCAATTTCTACTCATGTATATAAATGAAGCAAGAAAGTTGTGTGTGTGATTACTGCATTGATATGATTATGAGCTGCAGTAATAAATTGTGCTCGAAACGTGGTCACATCAGTAAATATTACTTATTGTATAACACAACACTGTGTGATTTTATCAAAATAAAACTTCTTATCCATAATGGAATTATACTCTACTACAAAGTGTGAGGAAGAGATGAGAGATTGTGCGCAATCGTGGTCCAAGCTGAAGAGGACGACAGAAGATAGGACCTATGTTCCACTCGGAACGCAAGGGAATAATAATAAAAATAATAACACATTTAAGCGAACAATATTGTGGTTTCAATTAGATCTCATCAGGCTTAACTCTAATATACCTACATAAGTTTACAAAGAAAAATTCAAATATAAACCAATCATGGTGTTTTGTCTGTAGGATAATACGATGGTGAATATAAATTGTGCAGTTAGTCAATAGTAGTAATGGTTTTATCAATAATAAGGATGAAAAAGTGAGGCAATCTGTGATAACACGAATAATGAAAAAACAATATGATTAAACAAACAACTGTTCAGGTGGAAGTAGTCTAGTAAAGACTAGTAAAAACAAATGAACCGATTAAGTAATGTTGGATTGTAAGGGAAGGAAATGAAACACGTTTATAGTGAAGATAAGATTAAGGGATGATAAGAAAGGGGTTGAAAATATAAACAAGGGGTGGTGGTGTAGAAGTCAATAGTTGGTTATGTCTTAATAGGCCAACCAGGGAGGGATAATGGCTGTACGAACTTTTTTTGAATACATAGTTTACGTTTAATAGTTCGAATGCCTATCGCCTCAGCTGTGTGCAATAAACGAATACGAAGTCTATTGGAAAGATTCGGTGGGATACGGTGAAGCACTTTAAAGGCTCTCGTTTTCTCGATTACATGACCACTATCAATTAAATGTGACAAAATAGAGCTACAAATTGTTTTTGTCTGTCCTTTGCCAAACCACGATGGGGGATGTTCACTAACACGCTGGCTAAGCTGTCTAGTAGTACGCCTAACATAACTGTCACCGCAGGTGCAGTTGAATTGATAAATGCACATAGATGTGGCAAAACTATCAAGTTTATCCTTCGTTTGCGTCCCAATCATTCGTCAGCTAGAGAATGACAAACATAGGTGTGCTGCGTTAAATGTTCTCCGTATACTCCTTGAAAGTCTTTGGAATAAAATCTCACTTGATAAGTCACCATTAAATTGTAACTTAATAAATAGATGTTTCTTACGTGCAGTCAGAGTCTCCGGTTTTTTCTCCGATATTTTCATATGTTTCTTTATGAAACTACTCTCGGATAGCCCATCTCCATCAAGGAATCGTGAATTTGAATATATATTCACGCTTAAATGTGTTGTTCTAAATCTTACTATGGGAATATTTAATATATTAAAAATAATAAGTTTTATTTTTAAATCAATAATCCTTGTCCTGCTTTTAGTAATGTTCACATAGGACTTTTTCATGAATCTTTAGGTAAATCCAAAATGATTAAACTTAATGCCTAAAGTCTACGTTAATGTCGTTAATCTCATGAATAAATAATTATTTCTATTTTTTTGTTAAAAAAACAAACAACATCTTTTAAATCTATAAATAAAATGTAGTATTTATTATTACTGGATTGTTTTATTTTTCTGTTTTGAAAATCACCATGGCAACCCACGTGACAGAAAGTAGATGACGTGAACAGAAAGGGAATGAGAAAATAATTAATTAAAACTTAATGCAAAGAATAAATGGACATTCAATCATTATTTTAGCTTTATTTCCCCTGTTTCTTAGTTATCTTAATACCATTTTAGTTATTTCATATTGTGACTGTCATTGTAATTTAGAGGAATGAATATATTTCGTCTTATTTGGGACTCTTCAGCTCAATGAATGATCGCGTTCTCACTAACGCTGTAACGACAGAAGACAAGGGTCAGGCAACAAATCGTCTACTGAGAAAATCAACAGATCTTTATAGATTTTTATGTACATTATTATTAGCGTTATTGTTAGCAGAGGAGCAACGTCTTCTGATTGGTCGTTTCCTTGCTGAAGGTTATTCTGTACTGCTTGCGACCGTC